TTTAGCTTTCCTCACCTGATCCCTGAATTCTCGGATAACTTCCCTGTACTCCTCCCAGGCTCCCTGTCCCTGCTTCCACCCACTGTAGGCTTCCTTTTTGCACCTCAGTTTGTCCAGGACCTGCTTGTTCATCCACGCAGGTCTTCTGGTGGTTTTTGCTTCACTGGGACGCACGGCTCCTGAGCTCGCAGGAGAAGATCCTTGAATACTCGCCAGCTTTCTTGGGCCTCTCTTCCCTCCAGGGATTCATCCCATTGAACCTTGCCAATCAGTTCCCTGAAGAGGCCAAAGTCTGCTCTCCTGAAGCCCAGGGCAGCAAGCTTGCTGCACACCCTCCTCACTTCCTTAAGGATCTCAAACTCCACTCCATCTCAAGGCTGCCCTTGAGCTTCAGATGTCTGACCACCTGAAGCCATCTTTAATAAGATGACTGACTTGTAGGAAATTTAACTGTACACAGATTAGTCAAAGTATTTTTGTGCTTTCTACAGTAAGGTTCTTCTTTCTAGAGGGCTCAGCTGGTGGCTTGCTGAACTCCTACCAGCACAGACAATACCCGAGACACCCTCCCTCAAAAAAATCCTGAGTTCCCAGGTGAAAATTTCATCCCTTTAGCAGCGAGATACATATTCATTCCTGCAATCAAATAAAAATTAAAGGGTTTGGTTGGAGATGCAGAAGAGAAGATTAAAGGAGACCAACCAAAGGGCTTCTACATTCATTCAACCACTATCAGAAGAGGCAAACCCAACAGGGAAACACAGAGTTATGTTACCTGTTGAATTCACATGCAAAGATAATTCTGTGTTGTCAAAGCAGTTCTTTAAATGCCTAAACACACAATTTTTGGAATTTCTCCATTTAATATGATCAAACTTAATGGGAAGACAGAAAACGAGAACCAAAAAAAAATTCAGATCAAATGAGCATCTTGGCTACAATTTAGCTGCACTTTAGCTTTGCTTAAATAAATTAGGACTCTAAGTACACTTGATACTACTTCAGAGTAAAAGAAAAATAATTCTAAGCAGGGGAGTTCTAGTATCTTTTGTTCAGCACATTCCACAAGACACGATTTAGAATACAACACTAATAGCATAGTATAGCACTGATCTAAAGAAATCAGAGCTTTCATAATGATGCAGTTCACATTGCTTACGCATAGAAGATGGGAAACGATAAATGAAGATGGCCCGTGCTGACATCCACAGCAAGGCTGACAGAACTCCCAACTGTCAGCCTGGCTTGCAGTGTGAAATCCAAAAGCCCTTCTGTATTGCAGTTTGAAGTCAAACATCTGATTATGTAACATTTTATTTTACAATTGCCCACAGTGCTGAGAAAAGACAACAACCATCTTTTAAACACTCCTCCAGTGGATTATTAGCAATAAAGCACACATATCCCAAGTGGGTATAAGGCAGCATTATCATCCAGCTGAGTTTTAAACTACTCCTGGCAAAAGAATTAGTTCTCATTCGTTTTTTTTAAAAAGCATCTTGCTATAGCACTTCACCATTAAGCTGTGTAATAAGGCTGCTTTAATTTCCTGTTTACTTTAGTGTTGTGTATGCTACTTACTAATTATTTTAATGTCACACAAAGAGCTGTAAAGAGAACAATAAAATGAAAGGCAATGATGTTTATAGCTGATTCTGCAAGCCATGTCCCCACTGTACCAATTCACAGCAAACAACAAGAAAAAGGGGATTGCTGCTCCAAAGCCATTTTAATGAATCACTCCCCTCTTGTCTGGGGAAAGGGGAATTAAAACTAAAAGCTGAGAGAGAACTACAGACAGATATTAGCTGAGTCAATGTTAAACTTCCTTGAACAGTGTTCCTAGACTTTCAGCTGTTAAGCAACCTACTCCGGCCCCAACACATCAAATTAGTATTTCTCCACACGCTCAGCCTGGGTTTCCCATTCCTTACTTGCCCCATATCTCAAAGTCAAACTGTTGCAAGCACAGGTATTCAAAGAGTACATTCTTTGCAGGTTTAAAGTTGAGTTATCGCATAGACAGGCTATGAAGATCACCAAAAAACTCAACCCAAACTAAGTTGGTTTCCACATTTGAATTAACTTCTCATAATGTAGTCACAACACATGACAAAATCCATACTCCTCGGGTTTACCACTTTGTTCCCTATGCAATGCTACACTTTAAGGGGTTCAACCTATCGAGGTACCAATGCTGTGATTCCAACTCAAGCACATAAGCAGTCCTGTGACTTACAAGTAAAGCCTACACTTAAGCATTTGTTGAACTGGGGCAGCATGAACCCACTTAGACAGCAAACATAGACCTGCTGAGATCCACCTGGCTAATCAGAATGGCAAAATAAATGGAGAAAAATTTATCAAAATAACTAATAAGCTACATACCATTCTATTCAGAGGTAGTCACTGTAATGTTAATTGAAGCTGCTTAATCTATGCAAGACCAGATAATCACAACATAGGAAAGATTTGAAAGCTATCAGTCACATCCAACATACATCTATTCTGGGATGACCATAATGCACACAGGCATTTTGAAATGAAACAAAAGTACTCCCAAGCAGAAAAAGCAGCAGGCAAAGATTTTAACATCAAAGAACTCTCTATAAACAGAGCTGCTTTTAAATCTGAGTAAATCCCTAATGAAATGAGGAACCCTTCAAACAAGGACTACAGTTCACTTGTAGGTCTCTCAAACCTGCAGTGAGGGGTCCAAATGTAGAGACCAAAAGCTACTGCAGAAAAAAGAGGTTTGTAACCAGCACAAATTCTGGGTAAATACAGAAAAGCATCTCTGTATATGTGACAGAGGAAAAAATTAAAAAGAATATTAGGTCCCTTTTGAGTAAGCTTTACATGGTGGCTTAAGAAACAAGAACAAGCAGATTCAACCCTAATGTTAATTCTTCCTGGATGCCCATTTAACTTCTTCAAAAGGCTAGACCATCTGGACACAGCCAATTACTTAAACTACCACATTATGGAAACAATATTAGAGGGAAACGTCGAAAGTCAACTGTCACTGCTGTAAGCAGGAAGGCAGGCAAAGGCTGACCACCTAGAGATAAAGTGTGCTCCACAACCTAAGTGTGCCATACCAACTAGTGAAGATGGAGACAGCCTTCTCTTACCTTTTGTATGAAGAAAATCCAGAGCACAGGCAACATCTCTCACCACTTTGCTAGCCTCTCGTTCATTGAAGTGCTTCCGCTTCTGTATATGGGCCAGGATTGAACCTGTAAGAGCAACAGGTGAAAGGGAAAACCTTAGTCTAAATGCTGCCAGGGCTGAGAAAAGGCTCTGTTACTACAACGATAAAAACACAACAGCCACTACCACTTTGCCATAAAGGGAGAGCTGATCTCTGTGTGAACAGGGCCTGAGGTAATGCAGAGAAGTTATTTGCAACTAACACACTGTCCTAGTATGTTTACACAGCAGAAACTGAAGTGTCATAATCCTGTGGTTTTATATTAAAATAGCCTCAGAAAATAACGATGAGCTAGTACCAAGCATCATGAATCCATAACCTCATTTCATATTTTATAACAGCCTTTCACAGCAGGCAACTTCCATGGACTGAAGAGAGGAATGGCTAGGAAAAAGGTACAACTGAGCAGCTTCAACACTTAAGCACGCTAGAACGTAATTTTCAAACACTGCAGCCCTCTAGCTTAAGCACAGCATGAGCAGCAATCATTTTTTACTGCCCCAGCACGACTGGTCTGTTTTCCACACACTGTGAACAGTAGAGACTTGCTAATAGTACTAGTAAAACCCAAACATCAGCTAAGGGCTTCCACAACACTTCAGCAAAACCCACCCCCTCCCAGGTCACCAGTGGTCACGCTCAAACTAACTCTCCTCATTTTGTGTAACATGGCTACTGAAACCCTGCTCTGAAAGTCAAGTATACACTTTTTTGCCTCAACACCATCAAAATAAAGAGAGACATTCTACCTTTAAATACATTTTAAAATTCCCATTGAGATCAAGGTAAAGCTCATACACTGACTTAAGGCAAAGTTTGCCCATGGACATGAAATCTAACAAAAGACCTCGAATATGAACATACTGAACGACTGGCAGCTTGCAGGCAGAGCTCCACTGGTGTCCTTTTACAAAGGATAAAGGGAGGTTTGATTCCTTACCTTCTTTAAGTAAATTCCATCAATCTGCTCAAAAGATTAAAAAATGTCTTCAAAAAACCAATTAAATGTAGTCCACAGAGAACCAAACCCACTAAATAGCCTTATTACTTCTCTTCCATTTTCTTACTCAGAGAGGTATATCCATAAAAGCAATCAGCCTATTCCCTACCGCAGTAATTCCTACTCTTATACCATCAACACTGCTGCCATTCCTCTACAGCAAGGATTCAGAAAGGAAACAGGAAAACACTCAAGAAGGATGGACAAAAGACTCTTCAGATATGCATGGATATGGTGTGTCAGATAGGTGAAGGGAGGCCTCTTTGGACAAACTTACCAGATTTCAAATACAGTCATCCCTTGCCTAAACCACTATTCCCTAGCTTGCTACAGATTTCTTAAGGGCACAGGGTCCAAAGGGTTTTCCTGGTATAGTTGTTCTTGACACCTTTAGAAAGTAGTAGCAGCTCTTGAATGTTCCCATCCCTGCAGAAAAGACCCCAGACTTTGCAGGCAACAATACTGAGCCACCTGAAATGCTCATTTCGCTCAGCAGGTTTATTTCAGATTACTCTGGTGAACAGCGCTGATGTTCCAAACTCTCTCGGATAAGAATTATATCAATATCAATGAGAAAGTCTGTAGAGTATGTTATTCAGCCCACATAGAGGAATCCCACAAACTAAGAATAGCAGGGCACTCCTGTCACAGCTGTTATCACCTCTTCAGCATTCAGAGGGAAAGCATCGCATAGCACCGCCCAAAACGCATTTCAGAGGCAAGAAATAAAAAAAGTAAAGGACTCCAATCATGCAAGTTCAGTATAATAAGCTGAATTTTAACGTTTGCAGTTATAAAATGCTGTCAAGCAGATATTAAATGGCTTCTGCACGCCGAGGTGCACTGAACACAGTTAAAATAGGAGCAGAGCTCCTTCAGCTACCACAGCTACAGGAAGGCAAAGCTGAAAATGGAAAGCCCAAGTTAGGCCCCAGCATTGCATGTAACATCAGTCTCAGACTGGAGTTGCTCAAGTAAGGCTGGTATTGAAGATCAACATCCTCAGTCTTGCCAGTCACGCTGCCTCTAACAGAATCCGCAGTGCATCAGAGGCTGGTCCAACCCCTAACTCTCATTATTTCTTTCATAATTGTTCAAGCCCACATACCCAACACTTCAAATATTGAAGTTTTTCAGAGAGGAAACTAGCCTCAGCCCTAGCTGTAAAAACAGCAGCTGAGAGAGAAGGTGGGGCATTATTATCCTCCCAGCAGCCGTGCGGGTACCCTGACCATCGTAGTCTCACGGCGAAAGAAAGTGGTTAACTACTGGACAGATATGGAGATGGGAGAGATACAAATGCAGATTCATCAAGCTCTATTACAGCAAATTTGGCAGTGAAGTCCAAACATTAACAGCAGTGTTAGAGGAAACCACAATGAAATGGTGCAGTAATGTTCAGGGAAGGTAAAAAAGAGTTACTACTCAAGAAGACAAAAGGTGTCCTTCTCTTTCTAAGAGGTTCTGCATCTACGTCCAAAGAATCTGCATTTCTTGTACGGTTTGCTCCTGAAAACCTTCTTGACTGGTGACAGCAGATAATCTAGGGACAAAAGTACACTCCTTCAGAAACTTTGTCTTGGAAGGGTGGGCCACACTTAACTCATGGTTTTGCACAGCCACACAATTAATGGATACTGTAATTATGCTCAACACAGACAAATGTGAGAAAGCCCAAAGAGGGTTTGATGTTGATGATCTTAAAGGTCATTTCCAACCTAAATGATTTATGTGGCCTTCCCCAGGTGACTGTTATAAGTGCTAGAGACCAGTGAGCACCCACACTCACCTCATTGGCCCTCAAACAGCCACAAGCAGACTGCTTCACAATTAGAGCAACCTCAGGCAGAAGGAAGACGTTTTTCACAACAGCGCTCTGCTAGTTTCAGGGAACAAAGTCAACCCTACACCAAGGGAAAATGCTGCCAGAGCATACAGATTATGTGCAATACCTGACATACTGTGACCTACCAACTATATTCCAAACGTCCCACTTGACTAGAGCTGACATTTCCATCACTTAACTACAGAAAGGGATACCAAATGTATGGCCAGACCCACCAATATCAAAGAATAACCATATGTCAAGGTTTGTATATTATTTCCTCTATTACCTCACCTTAAAATTCTCAACCATTTAAAACAAGCTCTTCATTTTCTACTTTAAAACACTGAGACAAACGGGACCAAGATGATTCAATGTATAAAGGCACAATCACTGCACGGTACCTCCTCGCAGCTTCTCAAAGACAAGGTAGTATCTTGTGTCATCTTCAAAGAATTCTATTAACTCCAAAATGTTCCTTAAAAAAAGAGGGGAATAGAAGAAAGGCACAGAGTGTAAACAGAGCAATGAAGAGTTTCAGCATGGATAATCAGGAAGTGCCAGAAGTAATTAAAAATAACAGTTCTAATTAAACAAGCAGCTTTGGTTGCCCACAGCATTAAAATCACATTTCCAACTCACACTGAAATTTAAGCGGGGAAACATGCCAAACCCCAAAATCAGACAGGACTGTGAAAGAAGTTCTGCGACTGCTCAATTGACAGGAAGATAACTGATAAGAGGTTGTACTTAATTTAAACATTGCATTTGTGCTGAAGGCAAGAACAACAAAAACTGGCATTCTTTTTCTCTGGAAATCATAAGGCAGAATACACAGCACCCGAAGGAGACAGGCATCTGTCAACATGACATTCATTCCAGCACCCTCATTACCATTTTTAGACTAACCAACTCCTGGTTAGTCAGTGTACAGTCTTTGCAGCACAACACAAACACCCCACAATGCCTTGAGAACGTCAAGCATGTAAGTCAGATTTTTCTACACTCAGAGCACACAGAAAATCCAAATTCTGCACGTGGTCATGAGAGCTTGAGTTTTCCACCAGTTATGTGCTGGATGACCATCTGTTCTCAACCACACACAAAACAAAAACATAATCTGCTTCTCTATAGCACAACCTAAACCTGTTAATGTAGTAAACAAGTCTGGGTTTAAATTATCTTTGTGTTGTACTAAAAATAGGCTTAATGTAAGCTGCACTACTGTCGTGTAGATAATCTAGGGGGTACGCAACAGCTGTAACAGAGACCTCTAAAGGACTACCCTCAGAATTGGCTTAAACCCATCACAGCTCACTGCTGCTGGCTGCATAGCCTTTCTTCCCTCCTTTTCAGACACAAGTAGCAGCTTTAAGGTTGCTTCTTCCTGTGGCTGTGGGAAGTCAGCACACATCCAACTGAAAACTAAATTAGCTTTTGGCTGATCTAAGTTCCAGTGCAAAAGCAGGAAGGAAGACACAGAGGAGGACAAACCACACATTAAGGACAGGAAAGGCAAGACTGCTCCAACAGCAGCTGGTACCAGGTCAGCTTTTGCTGATGGTGAAAATCACAGGGGAGTGTCAAAATGTAAATTTGGACAAAAGCCATGCATCACTGAAAGCACATTCAGGCTACACTGACCTGGTTGCTAACTGAGTTGTGTAATTTTTCATTTGTAAATCCTTTCCTAAATTTCACAGGTAAGAGAAGGGGAAGTTCTTATTTTAATAGGTCAAGTCAAAATTTCAACTGGTTTTAAGGAGAATTCTGTGAAGGTCCTAACCTAGTCACACATAAAAAGCTTAAAAATTTGAAAAAATATTCAAGATACCCTAAACACACACAAGACTCTACTTACTTGTTACCCTGGCACTGGTACAGGGTTTCTATTTCACGAAAAACCCGACTCCGACTATGCCCAGCATTCTTTTCAATAATCTGTGGAAAGAATTAGAGCTGATATTTGAAAAAATTACTGCAGGAGAACTGTGTTTGTTGCTCTCGAACTACGTAACTGATTTAAGGCTTGAATCTCTGACATGCCCACCAGAAACAAACACTCCACCTCTGTTTGTGTAATTTCTCATCTGTCATTTATTTACAGTGTCAGCAGAGCTCTGGAAGCATAAGGACAGGAAGAGAAGGAGGCAACTAAATCTACGTGTTACGCAGTCACTGACCAGTTACCACAAGCTTTTTCTTGCATCATTTTAACTCTGCAATGTGCAGGAAAGGTTATCCTTTTGAGTTCTAAAAAAAATAGCATCGAGTCACATCAGACACTGAAGAGCCAAAAAGGAGATTTGTCATTATAAGTATTTAAGTATTAAATTCACCACAAAATCAGAGTCTGGTTTAGAGTCCAAACTTCATGGAGACCCAGTAATAGGACATAATGTATTAAAGAAAACGTACATCTGATATCAGAGCCCTTCTGTACTGGCATCAGAAGTCACCTTCCTTCACACACTCCTCAGACTGAAAGAGGACAAGGACAAGGGTTTTCCACAGAGGCTGAGACTGAAACGGAAAGCTCCTGACATTACCGCAAATTCTACCTCTGTCTATACCCAGTATCTGTTTCCCATTTTCAGAGCCAGAGTTCTCTGGTACAGAACAGACAACCATTCACCAGAACTACGTGAGACTTGGTATCTGATCACACTAATTCATAAGGCAGCAGTTTATTCTGGGCTTTCAATTTCAACAATTCTACAAAGTACATGCAAAACTATAGCATCTACAGGAATAGATTTTTAAAGGGGCTTCAAATTTTGTGCCCATGGTTTTTGCAAAAGAATCAAAATCAAAATCATAAAGCCTTCCTATTACTATTATTAATTAAATGGGGGACTCAGGATAAACACAAACCTTTAAGTGGGCCCTAACACTTACTATAATGGCATTACAGATGATTCACCTCTATCAAAAAATAAAAGACAGCTTTACATGAACAAGTGGCAGTAACTGATGCTCTCTGAACTCCAAGTAGCATTCTCAAAAGCTTGTATATTTGGTAGGCCATGCTAGAGAATGACTCAGTATCTTCTTTCATAAGAAGATATGAAAACTAGTAGGACTACAATCAAATCAGGACATGAGAGGAAAGCCTGCCCTGGGATCTAACCATCAAAGTCATTTGCTGTTTGTGAATCCTGTCTGCTGATGATACACCAGTTCACTGCAGAGGCACAATACTTAAGACAACAGGTATCTCAGTGGTTATGAAGCAGGCTCATTTCAAGCATCAAAGATTTTCCAAAAGCTTTTGCTATTGCCCACTCTAATACAGGTTTTCACTGAGATACTGGGAGGGAAAAGACGTTACAGGCAGAAGTGATGCTGCTTTTATTCTGTACTTACTTTTACTGCATATTCTTTTCCAGTCTGGAGGCTGACAGCACCCTGAACTTTGGCATATGCTCCCTCTCCAAGAAGCTCAGCAGTCAGCTTGTACAAGTCTGCCAAAGAAATCCAACAGAAAGGACACATTAGCCAAAGCATTTCAGGGAGTAACATCAAGACAAGCCATTTATCTGATGAGCATCCACCGTATGATAGCAACTGAAAAAACTCCCTTGGTAATGAAGACAGAAAATAGATTTATGCAGTATTAAAGTAGATGTGCCAGCCTTAATTATGCCTCCTTTTTCACTTCCCTCCTTCGAGTTTCAGAAAGACTTAAAGTAGACTTCATTCCAGCATCAAAATTACAAGTTTGTTCATACAAGAAACCTTTTATATCTCAGCAATTGCTAGGACCTCATCCACCTTCCCTGTCTTCATGTAAAACTCAGAATCAATTTTTTCAGGTGGAAAATATTTCACTCCTTGATCAGAAAATGCCTACCATACAAAATCTACTCGCAGAGATAGTGTTTTAAAGGGGCCTGAGGGTTTAAACCCCAGAAGACCCCTACCATCTTGATTTGCAGTGTACCTTACAATGCCACTTGCCCACTAAGAAGTTTTATGCTTGTCATCTTAAAATACACTGAACTGTGTTTTACCTACAACTCTTCACAGTGTCTGTGCTCACATCTATTCAATCAAAACATTTTGACATCAGCACTGTTTCTACAAACAAAACCACCACACGCCAAACCAAAACACACCACCAGATTATGAACAGGACTCAGATTTCACCACTAAGAGAAGAAAGAGACTGAAGATCAAAACATGGGGGATAAAGAAAAACAGAAACGTTAGTGTTTGCATGCTTGCCAAAAAGCAACGCTTAGCTGAGAAAACTGAGAACAGCAGAGGGAAAACAGACCATTACAATTAAAAGCTTAGAAGTTGCCACCAACCTTCAAACTTCCCAGGGACGCGATCTGTGGCTCTGGTTCTTTTTTTCTTTTTCCTTTTCCCACTGTCTGCGATGGGGAGAGGCTGACTGCTGACCATCTCTGTGTGGCAGAACATAAACATGCTTTAACAAACAACTTCAGGAGAAAATGAACATGCTCTTGTGTGTTTATGTTCTTAAGCCATCCAAAAGTTTCTCTGCTTGTCTTCATCACAGGCTGCCATCTCTCCCCCAAATATCAGAGGAAATCTAAGATGACAATTTGCATGCTAATTAACAGCTTTTTGTTTGACAAACAAAGGTAAAACCAGAAGAAAATAAGTATGCATCTATACCAAATTCTCATCTCATAACACAGAAAGGCAAAGCATGGGAATAACCACCACAAGCTACCCACAACGTAACGCATGCCCTGATGCGAGACAGGAGGATTTACAGTCCTCAGAAGGGCGCTATTCTTTGAGCTATTCTACTGTTTTACAAGTAGATTTTTCAAGTCAGCCTTAGAAAATGAGCTTCCACAACAGGAGTAAGGCGTGGGGAAATTTCCAATGACCCAGTGAAACAAAGCAACCACAGGAGTTAACAGGTCAAAGGAGCAATCTAGGTCATTTTATGCTGTCAAAGACCAGAAAACCACCATTTCACACAGAATCATGATGTGCCTTTCTAAACCACAGATCAGTGGATAACTTCAGCTCCAAAACAAGCAGTGCTTATGGCATTTAGATGCTTTTTTCCTGAATTACTAACTGCAGATATTACAAGAGCTTAGTCAGAGATAACAATTCACTGATACAAGATAATATGGCAGAAAAAAAAGACACCCACATATTCTTACAGAAAGCCTAAATAAAATTACTGCCATAGGCTTTCTCTGCCAGAGGCTGCTTCATACAGCTAACCTATCTCCAAAAGGGTTAAATGACTCCACACTGTACTCACATGAGCACTTCTCCATAACACCAGTCACATCCTGCCAAGTTGGCCCTTACAAAAATCACAGCTCAGTCTTCATGGCAGTAGCAAAGCGCTTTTAAGACACTTTACAGCCAGAAGGACTTCTAAGTAGATTCTTCTACTACAGAAAGAAACCTAAATCCCTAGAAATAGTGTAATTATGAAAACACTATTAATGAAAGAAGAACAAGCACTCAAAAGAACACCAACAAGGTTTTCTGGCAATTCTCCCTTAACATGGAGCCCTTGTGAACAGCAGTTTTTCCGCTTTTCACTATTTCTGAAACACTCTTAAAACACAGAAGCTCTGAGGCAGAAAATATTACACAACACTCTACTAACACATTAAATACTTCTTTTTCTTTGTTGCACTTTTCTTGTCAGTATCTGTCAGTACTATTACGAGTGTCACTTAGAATTCGCAGGTGGTTTGAAAATTTAAGACAAGTGTCATTTTGAAAGCCCTTTCTCTTTAACAACTTACAGAAACACTTAAAAATGTGTTACTCAAAACCTCAAGACAATAGTAAACCGTGATTTTCAAGTCTTAAGCAGAGTGTGTTAAAAAAATCATCCTAAAGGATAACATGCAAGTTCTTAAATACAATAAAAAACACAGAAGTATACATTTTACCGACTTCTGAAGCAACAGTTTCTTTTTAACTCCAACTGACCCCGGTACAAATTTGAACTTTAACATGAAGAGAAGGCTAGCCTTTGTCAACAAGTTCCAGCTCTTCCTGATTTCAGTTCAGCCTGCATTAGAGGTTATTCAGAACTGGGATCAAAATTACACACAGGAAGCTGCTCAGAGAGAGCTGATCTGTTTGAAGGAGGTGCTTGACAATTCATTCTGAAGACTTTACCTTCTGCAAGTCAACAAGTCATACTTAGACAGTACTATTCCATTTCAAATACTACATGGTTTCAGAGCTTGTAACAGAGTCTAAAAATTATGTGAAAAGACAGGAGATGAATCTTGCATCTTCGCACCGCTGACATATTTCTTCATAACCCTCCTCTGCACTCTACCAGTTGTCTATGATATTTAGAGTCCGGTGTTTAATAACTCACTACGTTATTTCAATTCCCTTTATTTCAATTCCCTTTATTCCTCAATTCCTAAATTACAAAGAACTGCTTCCTTGAAACCAGGAAGCTCACTAGTCATGTATACAGAAACCACATTACTAAAAAGCTCACGTTTTCAACCTATATTCTCAAACAAATTTGCCATCAGACAGGCACAAAATGTTTGCTGTATTAGATTCTTATCACCCTTCTAGTCTGCTATTTCACATCATCGTGTAGTTCACTTCTGTCAACACAGCTTTCCCTTTAATGGTAGGACAGCTTCATTCCCATTATTCACTTTGTTATAATGAGCTGTACTTAAGTAACAGTTGGTACGACAGGAAAATGCCTTTAGCCCAGCCAAATATTTCAGAGGCTTTTCAAGCTTTTGAAGAAATGTGTTTCTGTGACCACATACCAAAGAGTTTCTGCTGACACTGTAAGTGTGCCTCCACCACCTAACCCAGGCTGAGGCGTTTTGCATGCTGCAGGACTACCCCCAGTGACAAGGACACTGTGGTTCAGAGGAAACTCACCCTGCCAGACAGTAATCTGAGACTGGATGAACTGCTCTGGAGGGAAACGGCCCATGGACACATCAGGTCTGAGATGAATGTCTAACTGTTGTCATTTTAAGGTCACTTTTACAATGTGGCCTGAAGCATTCAACCCCTGCTTCCACCAAGCCAACTTGTCTACCCACTTTGTGATCTATTCTGGCTGAGTGCAGGGAGGTAGAACACTACTGCATTCAGAGCAGTCTGACCAAACCTTTGGTAAAGAGCACTTCTTACATCCCTCTCGACCATAATGGAGTCAGACTGTTCTCTCGGAGAATACTGCCTGACTAGCAGTCCGACAGAAGCTGAAGAAATAGGGAACAGTTCAAACTCCAATTTGTCCTTCCCTTCCGTTCAGGTTAGGGCTATTGCTTACAGATAATGTAAGCCAGCAAAATCCATACAGCAAGCAAAAAGAGAGCAAGTTTCTGTCTTAGCTGCAGTCTTGCTGAAGTCCTGTATTTCATTATCCTCGTAATCCAGTGTTGAGGCAATATTTAGCATAGGCATTATTCAGAGCCTGTGTGGGAAGGTACAGTTACAGCCTTTCCCTTTTTCTGTTGTGGCTTCTACAACTATCTTCAAAAGGATGAAAAAAAGCATTTATCATAAAGATGATGTGCAAACAATGCCAGCTGAAGAAAAGGAACAATTACCACAAGTTTCACTTCATCCAGATCTTAAAAATCACCCTTCCTCTTGCTTCCTAACACTCCATATACAAACATGCCAAAATTCAATATCCAGACATAACTCCCCTCCTTCTAATCTGCTTCCCAAAGGAAGGGAGGGTATATTTAGAAAACAGGCATACACACGTACAGGAAGCACTTGGAGAACACAGTAAAGATGCCTTTCTCTATAGAAAAGGGGATACCTTGTTTGTGCGTTTGAATCCGATGGAAGAAAGCAGTTTGAGCAGACAGTGCGGGTACTGCCACCTGCTTCAAAACCTGGTCTTGCTTGAGCAGGGTTTTTCTGCAGCTGAAAAGGAACAAAGTCACATTTACATTCAGAAATCGCATAAATAGTTCCATACATTTGGGTAGCGCCCAGATTCTTAAGAGATTTGAGGAACCTGTTGTGCCAGGCTTCATGCAAGCACACAGCAAGAGCACGCCCCTGCATTAAAGGCTTTGTAACTGGTAAGAATGCAAAACATAGCGTTACTTCCAGCACTCCAGTCATTCAACTGATGAGGAGACCCCCCCCAATACAGTCTTCCAAAACCAACAGAAGGATTTACGGTGCTCATTAGTTCTTGCTGTTAAACTACTGGAGAACCATAACACGTTTAGGTAGAGAATACAGAATTACTCTTAACAGTCAGAAAAGATCATACTCTTAACCTAGATGAAGACTCTGCCGACACAGAGCACCACAACAACAGCCATAACAGCCCTAAGTTAACGCATATCTTGAAACTGGTCTTGAAGGCAGCCAAACAGGCTCCAACACACCAGGAACATGAGAACGCACTTTCCACAGCTGAAAATCTCCTAAGAACAGGTACCACTAGTACCAAATTCACTCCTAGCAAGAGGCAAACAAGGCAACGATGCTCAGGTAACACCAACTGAAGAAAAGAATTTGGAGCCTCAAATAAAGCCTTCTGTGGATTCACAGAGGATAGCCACAACCCATAATTCAACAGATAAACTCAAAGTTTATGTGCTGGCACAGGATGGATTTGGACCACTGAGGTTCTACCTACACAGCTGCAATTACAAAAATATTACTGTCCCACAGACACCACAAAAGTAAAAGGGTTTTATTCAGACCAAATAAAAGACCACCAAGATCTTTGATAAGGCTTTTCTAAATGAGATGTAAAAATGTTATTTTGGCTAACTGAACAACAACAGGCAGACCAGTCTGCGCCTTCTGAACAGCATCCAACTTCTCTGTTGATTTACACTTATTTTCAAAGACATTGTTTACTTGTTCAAACAGCTATTGACAGACTCAGTAAAATAGTTAAGCATGAGTAAGTCCCTTGATTCCACAAGCGTGACATACCTCTGAGTCTCAGCCCTCAAATGTCAAAATGTGTGCTCATAACTCAAAAAAATTGAAGCCACTTTAAAGTTTCAGACATCCACAGTTTTGGATAAAGAAACAAAAATGAAAACAGAACTCAGTCTCATTTTCCTCACAACTCAGTTGCTCACATCTTTCTTGGGCCCTCCCTTCTCCAGTGACACTTTGGATTCCCGTAGATATGGCTCATAATTAAACAGGACTCACTCAGCAGGTGCTGATTCTGCCAAAACCTGCTAGTTGCAGGAAGATCAGGATAATCAGTGTTACCTTTAAAGTGACTACATAGTAATTAATTGTGCTTGTAATGTTACAGATCTAGAGAAACACAATTTGAAGAGGAAGGATGCCCGATTCTTTAGGACAGGGCTGTGTCAAATCCAGAGGCTGATTATTTTAGCTCTCATTCCATAGCGCATTAAGAAAGAATATTAATTTCAAATTGTAAGAAGTGAGTATTCTCACAGGTCATGCATCTTTAC